ACCCCAAATCTCACCTGATGGAGTCGTAGACGCTGCTGTAGGTGAACAGGTACGTGCGCAGAGATTCCTCCTGGATCTTCCTGGAAGGGGCAAAAAATCACAATTTCTGACCCAAAATTCACATTTCTGACCCAAAATTCACATTTCTGACCCAAAATTATATAAAAATGCCCCAAAACTGCAAAAAAAAGCCCCAAAACCAGCAATTTCTGACCGAAAATTCGCATTTTCTGACACAAAAACCTGCGTTTTTCACCCAAAATTGGGATTTTCTACCCCAAAATTGGCATTTTCTGACCCAAAATCGGCATTTTTCACCCCAAAAGCCGCATTTTCTGATGCAAAATCGGCACTTTCCACCCCAAAATCGGCAAAAATGCCCCAAAATTGAAAAAAAAGCCCCAAAATTGGGATTTTCTGACCCAAAATCTGCATTTTCCACCCCCAAATCATCATTTTCTACCCTAAAATTGGATTTTTTGGACCCAAAATTGCCAAAAATGCCCCAAAATGTGCATTTTTCACCCCAAAATTGCCAAATGCGCACCTGGTCGGCCTCGGGGAACAAATCCCAGATCTTGAACTGCCCCAAATCCCCCAAAATGGCCCAAAAATCCCCCAAAATTCCCCAAAATCCCCATTTTTTTACCTGAGCTCACCTGAGCACCAAAATCCCTCTAAAAAACACCAAAAATGCAAAAAAAAACCCCCAAAAAATCCCCAAAAATCGAAAAAAAATCGCCAAAAAATCGCCAAAAATTGCAAAAAAATAAAAAAAAATTTAAAAAAATCGCAAAAATCCCCAAAATGCCCAAAAATCCCCAAAATGCCCCCAAAATCACCGTTTTTTTACCTGAGCACACTTGAGCACCTCAAACCCCATTCAAATCCCATTTTTAACCCCAAAAATGCCCCAAAAATCACCAAAAAATGCCCAAAAAAAGTCAAAAAACACCAAAAAAATTGCAAAAAAAATTCCTAAAAATCACAAAAAATCCCAAATTTTCCCAAATCTTCCCAAATTTTCCCGAATTTCCCATTTTTCCTCACCTGACGAGCATGGCGCGCACCTGGTCGGCCTCGGGGAACAAATCCCAGACCTTCCCGTTCATTTTCTCGTTGACGACGTAGCGGTGGCAGCGGCGCCAGTCGCCCGTTTTCATCGCCTTCGAGGCGGCCACCACGTGCTCCCGCATCGACTCGGGGGGACCTGGAATAATTTGGGGTGAAAAAAGGCGAAATTGGGAAAATTCCGTTTTTTTTTGGGAAAAAATCTGCTTTTTTTTGGCGAAAATCTGCGGTTTTTTACCAAAAATGGCTGTTTTTTAGTGCAAAAAACCCCAATTTTTTACTCAAAATTCATCGTTTTTTTGGGGAAATGAAGTTTTTGCACAGGTGAGACAAGTGAGTGAAATTTTGGGGCAAAAAAACGTGAAATCGGGAAAAAAATCGATGTTTTTTACTAAAAATAGCGATTTTTCACCAAAAATCCGCTTTTTTCCCCAAAAAAATCTGCCTTTTTTGGGGCAAAATGAAGTTTTGGGACAGGTGAGAAAAGTGAGGAATAAGTAAGACACGTGAGTGAAATTTTGGGGTGAAAAATCACGAAATT